TATAAAGGCAAGACACAGTCCCTGTCCTCAAGGAGCTTACTATCTAATGGGAGGAGACAATGAGGAAAAAACTACGTATGAATCATATATATGTATATATTATATGCACGTGTGTATATATGTATATATATGTATGTGTATATACATATATGTATAATGTGTGCATGTATATATATATGGATAGATAGATAGATAGATAGATATAGATAGATATATATAGATATATAAACTGGAGATTATCAACAAAGGAAAGAACCTAGCATTAAGGGGGATTGGAAAAGGCTTTTTGCAAAAAACAACTTTGGTTGGGACTTGATGGAAGCCAGGACACCAAATATGTCTAAGAGGGAATCTGAAAGGCCAGAATATTTTGCAGATTTGATCTCAGAGCCGTGTCTCAGATTCTTCTGTTGTCCTCAGGTAAGATTGCTCAACAATGGGCATTTTCCTGACTGCAAGTAACAAATGTAGGTCAAAGTGTTTTGAAATCATAATATAACCTGCAAATCTTAACCAGTACTCTGCATTTTAGGCTGTAAGTCCTTAAGAGATTTCCAGGGGTCATCCAGTGAAGGTATGTAAGTTAGCACATCTCATAGGCCCAGGCCTAAAAGAAACCAAGCAACATGTATTATTATTATTTTTGCTGAGGCAATCAGGGTTAGGTGACTTGCCCAAGGTCACACGGTAAGTGTCAAATGAGGCCAGATTTGAACTCAGGTCCTCCTGCCTCCAAGGCTGCAGCTCTATCCACTGCACCACCTAGCCGCCCCTAGCAACATGTATTTCAATGACAATGAACAAGGCCTTTAGCTTTGTTGGCAACTTCTGGAAATTACAACAATTCTCTAAATGTTTGATCTTTTCTCCAACAGACACACTATCCCCAATTTTGTATTTGTCTTTTGCTTTGACAAGCATTTGGCTCTTCCTAGAATCCCTTTAAAATTATAGCATATAAATTCTGCCAGCTCAGGTTCTAGTTAAACTACTGACAACAGTTTGTATAACAGCTCAAAAATATTACATTGTGACTAGGACCACACTAATAAGACATTGTTTATTTCATATTACCGGCTACTGAAAACCCGAGTGACACTTTAAGGGTTTGTGATTTTTGTCTCCAGTGATTCAGACAGCCACTCATCTGGTGATATATGGCCTACATGACTTGCTATTGACTGAAAAAAAAAATCCCAGCCTCCAGCAGCCAAGCTTCCAGTGATAAACCTATTAAACAAGTTTGGAGAAACATGAAACAAGAAGACTCAGGGAAGACAAGAATGATATTTTCAAACATTTGAAAGGCTGTCATATGCAAGAGGGATTAGACTTGTTCTGTTTGGCCCCAGAAGGCAGAACCTGGCCCAATGGGTGGAAGACGCAGAGAGGCCCATTTACACTTGATGTCGGGGAGAACTTTCTAACAATCAGAGCTATCCTAAAGTGGAATGTGTTGCCTGAGGAGGGAGTGAGTTCCCCTTCACCAGAGGTCTTCAAGCAAAGGCTTGAGAAACAACCGGTCTGGCATGTTGCAGGCGAGGGTGGGGGGCTGGGGAGGTCCCTTTCCAGCTCTGACACTGAGTGATGCCTGTCATCCTTGGCACTGCCCCCTCTCAGGGTGGCTGTGAGGCCAAGTGAGATTTCACATGGAAAGGGCCCCGGGACCCTAAACTGCTCCATAAATAGAAGCTATTCCTACTTGATATTAAACAGCAAATGGAAGCAGAGAGCCGTGCTGGTTCTCTGACCACAATCTGTCTGTGGCTGGGCCTGAGCTTCAGTTTTGTTTTTTTTTAGTTTGGGGGGAGCTGTGGCAGCTTGGTGTCTGCTGGGTGGCCCCTGCACTGCCCGGAGGCATCTGGGAAGGCGCTGAGCCCAGAGCTCACTTAGGGAAATTTGGTTAGAAATGATAGGTGTCAAATCCTCTCCCACAGCTGCTGTATTTTAGTGGTCTTTGGGTATAGTTTTATTTTTCGGGGAGGTCTCGTGGAACAGTGGAAAGAGGGTTTGAGGCAAATCACTTCACTTTGTGAGGCAGAGGGGCACCTCAGCTGCCTCATCTGGGAAATGACGTGGATAATACTTGTACTGTCTTACCATGGTTGTGGTGAAGAAACAGCCGCGTCACATGTAATGCACTACAGAAATGTGAAAGCTACTGGTACTGTCAAAGAAAGAGACGACAGCTAGGGGGAGCTGTGGATCAGGTTCAAATCCTGTTTCTGACGCTTTACCAGCTGTGTGACCCTGGGCAAGTGACTTAACCCCTCAGCCTCAGTTTCCCCATTTGTCAAATGGGGGTAATAATTGCAACTACCTCCTAGGGCTGTTGGAAGGATCAGATGAGATAACATAAAATGCTTTGCAAACCTTATGGCACTATGTCCATGTGAATTATTATTATTATTATTAAAATGTCATACCATTACTATGTTGGTCACCAACAGGTCAAGTTTCTTTCTTTTTCTTTTTCCTTTCTTCCTTTTTGTCTTTCTTATTTCTCTTCCTTCCTTTTTCTTTCTTCTCTCTCTCCCTTCCTCCCCTCCCTCCCTTTGCCCCCTCCTTTTCTCTTTCTTTCTTTCTTTTTCTTTTTCTTTCTTTCTTTCTTTTTCTTTCCTTCCTTCCTTCCTTCCTTCCTTCCTTCCTTCCTTCCTTCCTTCCTTCCTTCCTTCCTTCCTTCCTTCCTTCCCTTCTCTCTCTCTCTCTCTCTCTCTCTCTCTGTCTGTCTTTCTCTCTCTCTCTTTCATCTTAGTGTTTGGATTTTGTTTTGTGGCCAGTTAGTCCTTAAGATGGAAAAAAAAGTATTATCTAAGCATTTACCTTGTTTATTTACTATTTATTTCTGTTAAATTTGTGACAGCTGACTAAATTTTCTTCCATATAGTTCTCATAGGCTTTATGTTTTTTCTTGTTTTTTGATTTTTTCTTTTGAGTGGGGGGTGGACCTGTCAGATTTTATTGGTATAGTGAACTCATTGTGAAGAAACTCCCTCTAACAAGCAAGTCAGCACCTGCTCTAAAACTCACAGCCTTAAAGAGTCGCCTGGGAACCGAGAGGTTAGGTGATTGCTCAGGGTGATGCACTCGGTATTCATCAGAGGTGGGACTTGAACCCAGGTCTTGGCTCCAAGGCTAGCCTTCTCTGCCCTTTGCCGGCGCTGCCTCTCAGTCTTTATGCGATATTTTACAAATGAATTTTTTGTTGATTAGAACATATGAGAATTGGAAAAATGAGAATATATATGTATGTAGAAATACATAAATATAGATATCTATACACACATATTTTTCACAAGCACTTTCATAGAATTATCAAATTAGCAGCATTATCTTCTCATGCTTCTGCCCAGTTTGGCAATTACATGTTTTTGAACCCATTTTTCTTTCATGATAGTCCAAGCTATTACATTCTATAGACATTATCTTAAATTTTAGGTCTTGCTATTGGCTGTCATGGGAAAGTTGCTGCTTAATCCTTGGTCTTCCAAAATAGTAATTACTGAGTCACATTATAACATGATCAAACATGATCACATTAACATAATTCAAAATATACAGTGTAAAATGAATAATTAGGATAACCTAACGATTTTAGGACTTAGAACTGAAAAAGACCAGAGCAAAATGTGTCACAACAATCAACTTCGATTGTTCCTGAGCCATCATTGTACCCGAACGCTTTTCCCCTCATCCTTCCTGTTCCCACCTTGTCCCTATTCTAACCACTACATCTTCTTAGTCCTCGTCATAGGAAAATTATCATCACACACAGACATGATGATATATATACTCTTGATAAATTTATGCTTAGCTATTAGTCATATTAAAATAGCCAAAATAGTCAGAATGATTGGATTGCAACCTTGGGGTCATCCTCAACTCCTTACTCATTCACCCTACATGTCAATCAGTTGCCAAAACTTGTCCCTTTTGCAACATCTCTCCTATATGTCTTCTTCTCTCTACTTACGTAGCCACAACCCTAGTTCAGACCCTCACTGCATCTCTCCTGGACTCTTGCAATAGCCTTCTCACTGGTTTTCTTGTCTCAAGTCTCTCCCTACTCCCAGCTGCTGGTTTTTCTAATGTATAGGTCTGACAGTGTCACCTCTCTACTCAATGAGCTCTAGTCATTCCCAATTAGCTCCATGATTAAGTATAAACAAGTTTGTTTGGAATATAAAAGTCTTCCAAACTTGGCTATTTTCTAACTTTCCAGTCTACTTAACCTTTATCCTGCTTCATGCATTCTATGGTCTAGCTACATGGGCCTATTAGCAACTCTTCTAACATGTCACTTCTCCCATTGCTGTGCCTTTGCACTGGCCATCCCCCATGCGTGTCACCTCTGCTTTTTAGTTCCCCTTGTTTCCTGAAAAATTAAGCTCAAGTTCCATCTTCTACAGGAAACTTTTCTTCAGAAGGCTTCAACATCATCCTCTCTGAGATGACCTTTCTTTCATCTAGACTGTATAGATTTTATATGTTGTTGTTCAGTCGTGTCTGACTCTTCACAACCCCATTTGGGGTTTTCATGGCAAAGATATTACAGTGGTTTGCCATTTCCTTCTCCAGCTCATTGTATACGTACTTAGCTGTTAATATGTTGTCTTCTCCATTAGAATGTGAATTCCTTAATGGTACAGACTGTTTTTGTTTTTCTTTGTATCCCCATCTCTTGTCATAGTGCCTGGGACACAATAAATGCTTGTCGTCTGAATGACTGAGTAGTCATTTTAAATCAGGAGTTCTTAACCTGTGGATTACAAATCCCTAATGGGTTCATGAACTTGGGTGGGAAAAATGATATCTTAATTTTCATTGATCTCTAACTGAAATTTAGCATTTCTTTCAATTGCTTAATACTATTATTCTGAGAAAAAGGTCCATCGGTTTCACTAGGCTTCCGAAAGGGCCCATGACACAAAAATAGTTAAGAACCTTTGCTTTAAATGCTTTCAGTAATATAACCATACCAATCACCTCCCATTTCTCACCTGTTTGAAGAGTGAGTCAATGCTGTTTGTTGTGAGATATGTCTGTAGCTTGAACCAGAGGGAGGAAGGCTCACAGGAAACATTTCTTCACCTGGCGGTGCTAGAGATAGGCCAACAAAAGCTTCATTTAGCGTGTCTCCTCCATCCAATGGCCCCAGGAGTTCTGTTAAGATTATTTAAGATGGAAAAACATAATCCATCACGGCTTTTACATTTCAACTCTTGTCAATTTACAGTGAATGAATTAGGAATTTTGAATTGCCAGCCCTCTTTTGTTTTTACTTTTGTTATTCTCAGACTTAGTTTAGCATAGTTTAATTGAATATTTCAGTGAATAAAAAAAGAGAAATTCTTAATGTTTAAAATTGTGAACAAATTTCCAGAATTAATTTCTTTGTTGAAATGTTTTCCAGTGGGCCAACTACCCATGAATTATACTCTATGCAAATACTGCAATTGACTAAATTAATCAATGGCTAGAGAAGTTCCTACTTTAAAAAGCACACACTTTAAAAACATTATAGAATAGTTGGATAAAATATTTGTTCAGCCTTAATTTCAGTTAATTAGTATTCCAGAAGTTCCAAAAACATTAAGTTTTAGAAATTTATGAGACGTTACATTTTATGTCTTTGGTAGTATACCTAAAGTCATAATATGGCTAACTTGGGAAGAAAATTGTTAAAAATTATGAAACATATTTGTCTCATTTGGAATGAGGATGTGAACACTAGACTAAGATATTTAAAAAATAAATCAGGGTTGCAGTGTGTGGATCACTTAAAAGTTGTTTTTTTTTCTAATACAGATAAGAACTAGATGTTTGAATTTTTTTCTTTCCTTTCCCGCAGTAAACTCTACACCACCCTTCTTATCTTGTAAAGTAGCATAATGAATTACCTGACACATATAAATCATGAATATTAGAAAGGTCATGATTCTGTAATAAATTCTGAGAAAGAAATATTCAGTATGTAGGTTGAATATAAAATATTTTCAAGTTCTCTCTAAAGAGCTTCAGGGCTTTAAAAAAAGCCAATTCAATAGGCAGTTATTATTTTTGTAATGATTCTGCTTACAAAAATGTACAGAAGCATAAAAGAAAAAGCATGACTACCATTAAGAAGAGTTTTGTTGTCTAGGCATAGAAATTTGGAATTGTGCAGAAAGTATTATTAAAGTCTGAAATTATAAACATAGGAATTCTGGAGACTTTTTTTGGGGGGGGGAAGAAATTGGTTTACTTGTTTATTTCCATAACCTACATTTGAAAAAATATCAAGAGAGAATTTCGATGGCCGTATCATTTTGAAATTCACCTACCTCGAATCCTCCAATTTTCTACCCCATAGTATTAATAATGACTTACATTAATATAGTGAGTACTTAAAGGTTTGCACAAGGCTTCTTTTGAAACAAACTAGTAGAGAATAAAAAGTATTATTAGGTCTTTTCCACCAATTTCAAATTATGGAATTGCCAAGGACAAGTAGCAAACATTCCTTCTTTCAAGGTAACCCAGCTAAGAAAGATAAGAAAGAATGATCTGCCAAAGCCACGTTGTTGCAGTTGTTTTGACCCAAAGGAGTCAGGCAGTCTATATCTGCAAAATGAGGGGGTTACACCAGATGACCTAAAACGTCCTTTCAGTCTCTACGCTTATAGTGCTATGATTTCCTCAGCATAGGGAACTTCGAGTGAGAACACTTTCCCCTCAAACACGGAATCATGACTCATCTTTACTTTAGAGTCTTAGTTGCCTGTGGCATTGAAAGGTTTAGTAACTTACTTGCCCAGAGTTATAGAAGTAGTATGTGTTAGTAGCAGGATTTGATTAAGGTATTCCTGACCCAGCTAGTCTTTTGTCTATTCCTCCATGTTTTCTCTCATTTAGATTCTCACAATGTACTTAATTTTGGCATCTTAATAAAGAGAACAAAAAGCCCAAACTAACTAACTCAATAGCAAATATATAAGAACCAAAATGACTACTAGCCCAGTTTATTTTGTTGTATCTAGTCAGGTGGTGAATAAAACGAGCAACTGGAGATCAGGAGTTATAAGAATATGTTCAGCATCCATGGAAAATGCTTTTTGGGATAAATATTTCTAATGGTTTTGGTTTCATACCAAATGGATATTAGGCTCTACCGTTTGGTAGAGCTTTTCCCTACCTCTCCTCCCAGGCTCTAGGCTGCCCAGAACCCACCTGGGCTGGTTATCAACTCACATAGATGAGATGGGAGTTATACTAGGCCTACCATTTCCCTACCACTGCATCCCAAGATCCTCCAGTCCTTACCTTGTCTCTGTGCAGTCTAGACATGTGGCATTATCACCTGACCTACTGATGCAACCTAAGGACCCCTGGGCTTGGTTATCCATCCCTTTGCACCCTCAGGACTTCTGGAACTGAACTGGGATGGTAGAAATGAATGGAGAAAAAACGGAACTCTCCCCTGGAGGTTAGGCAGGGCCTCTGTGGATCTGAGTTGTCCTGGTCTAAGTCTTGCTGGGATGCTCTAGTTGTTATCACTCCCCCAGTTTTAAGAGTTCCATCCAGAGCTTTCTAACTTCCTCAATTGTTTGCCTGTGGGGGCCATTGCCTTGTTGGAAGCACCCTTTTTCTGATGGTTGCACGTTTTCTGGGGTAAAGGGAGTGACTCTCATTGGACTTCTTGATCATTATTTGGTCTGGTGACATTTTCAATTTCTGCTGGAGTTGGTACGTGGGAGCTAGGTGGTTTGGGTTGTTCATGCAGCCATCTTGGCTAGAGCTTCCGGTACATGGTTTAGGAATCTTCCCCAGAGAAGGGACAACCAAAACCACGAGCGTATCAAAGCTCACCAACTTTCAGAATGGAGCAGAAGGAGACAGTCCAGAATGGAGTGTGGATTGATACCCACACTTAAGAGGTGGGGAAAAGCTGGAACAGCAAAGGATACCATTTAAAATTCTTCACAGCCTGGCCTTTTCCTGCCTTTCCAGACTTCTTACACTATATTCCTCCACGTACTTCATGTTTCAGCATCACTGGTCTACTTGGAGTTCCCTGAATATGGCATGCTTTTAATCTCCCATCTCCATGACTTTATCCTGGCTGTGCTCTAAGCCTGGAATGCTCTACCTCCCCCACCACCAACTCTTAGTTTGCCTCATCTCCTTCAAGAATCAGTTCAAATGTTTATTGACTGACTGACTGACTGATCTCTCCAGCTGCTAATGCCTTCCCCTCTCAGATTGTCCTCCGTCTTCACTGCATATATATTATATGTTCCTAGTTATTTACATATTATTTCTCTGATTAGAATGTAATCTCCTTGGGGGCAGGGATTTCATTTTTGCCTTTTTTTGTGTGTGTGTCTTCACTGTGCCTGGCACATAGTAAGTACTTAATAGATTCTTGTTAACTTGACAAGCAGAAGAACCAACCAGCAAAGAACAATATCGTGGAAGTCAAAGGAGAGAGTACCCAGGAGGACAATTGCTACAGAAATGTAATAGCAGATAAAAAATAAGAAAAAGACATTGGATTTGTCAGTTAAGAAGTCATAAGTAACTCTGGAGAGAATATTTTTATTAAAGTGGTAGAAGCTGGAAACCAAGGGGTCGAGGAGTGAGTGGGTGGTGAGAAAGCTGAGACAATAAGTGTATATGACTCTCTTCCTAGAAGCTGAGCAGTGAAGGGGAAAAGGGTAAAAAAATAGGATAGTAGCTTGAGGGGATAATACAATTAAGGGAAATATATTTTTTTTAAGGGAGGTGAGATATGAACATTTTTTGTGGCTAGAGATGAAGGAACCAGTGGAGAAGAGATCGGGTGGATGATTGATTGAGCAAGACCCTAGAAGAGAGAGGAATTGATGGGATCAAAGATTCCAGTAGAGAATTATATCAGCTACTGATATATACACATATATGTATACACACATACTCTAAACATATATATTATATATATACATATGTATATATATATGTACAGGATAAATTGGAGATAATCAAGGTGCCTTGTACACAGAAAGCACTTAATACTTGATGAATTGAATTGAGACTATTTAGAGGTTCTGAGTTGTGGAAGGGAGGAGATGTGAGAACCAAGGATGAATGGCCTTGTTTTCTAAGTAAAAAGAAGGTAGGGTAATCTCAGAGGGGATGGTGTAAAGGTTTAAGAAGCTTTAGAACAGCTGTTGTAGAAAATGTGATAGGGAGTCAATCAGACATGAATAAAAGGATTGCCCTGCAGCAGTGAGGGCCTAACTGAGGTTAGATAAAAATGACTTTGTATTAGGCACAGTCTACAGGATTTTCTGACTTCATATTTTATACTCTGCTATTTGGAAATAGGAGCAAGAGAAGGCAGATGGTGGAGGCTATCCATAGTTGAATATTAGTAGAGTGGGAACAGCGGAAGAATAAGGGAAAGAAGATGAAGAGATGAAGAAAGTGTCTGATTATAAGATCAAGACTGAATCTAGGTCCTCAAGTGTGGTGTTTGGATTTAGTCAAAGGGCTGCTAGTTGAGGACCTAGAGGGCCACACGTGGCCTCAAGGCCAAAGGTTCCCCACTCCTGTACTAGACCATGCTATATATTTCTTATGTGTAAAATCAAAGACTAAAATATAAAATTAGACATTAAGTGAAACTGTGGTAGATTTTTGTGAAGAACATGTATAATATATAATCCATATTAATAAACTTAATTCTCAAAATTTTTAGTGTCTTAAGAATGTCAGTTGCCTGTTATGCACTAACTAATGCCTAGACGAGAGAGGTTCTCTTCCTTTTAATCACAAGGCTTAAGGTGACTTTAAATGTCTACAAAGGTTTCAAACATGTCTTTTTCAGAAAAGACAGACAACAATAACATCACATGAATCACAGCACTAACAAAATGAGATTTATTTTCCTCCCGCTTGAATAGAATGGGTTCTATTCTGCTTGAATACAATAGGAGGGAAAAAGGTTCCCTTTCTTTCTTCCTGTGTTCACACAGTCCCATGAATATCTATATTTTATTTATTCTATCCAGAGTTTAGCACAGGATAAGTGGGATGTGGTCCAGGGTATGTTATAGCTCCAATGAGCCTTCCAATCCAGTTACATTATATTGGCAGTCTAGGTGGAGAAAATATTTGTGAATTCTTTTATATTTACAGAACTA